TCATTTGATTTTAGAATAATAAGTAAAAGAATTTACTAAAATTCTGATATGGTTATGAAATCCTTTGATCTCTTTGTAATGTATACAAACTATACTAACAGCAATATAGAACTAACCATGCTTAAAAGAATCTGTACTAGTTAAATTTTCTGTATCAATTTAATAACATATGGCCAAGTAACAATCATGGAAAAGACATTTAGTATTTTTTCAAATACAATAGCTTGATTTTTTTGTCTTTTGTTCTTAGTATTAAAATGTGACCTTATTTTATTGTTCACATAAAGCTATTTCAAAAAAAACAAAAAACATTGATCTGGAAAAAGCTCTAATGTTATTAGATTTCTGTACTTGCAAGTTAAAATTGTATATCTGTAGTCACAATAATATTCTCATTGTAAAGGTAATGTACTCAAAGAAAAATCCAAGAAAAGCATGAAAGTCTGAAAAAAAAAAATTTTTTTTAATCTAAATTATAAATCATATAATTTTCCCCCTAAGGTTGCTAGGTGTATATATCCCTACTTTGATTACTTATTTCTTTAAAAAATGTTATAAATTTAGCCATACATTTTTCCTTTTTTGTAGTTATTCAGTCTCACAAGTATTTATTTATTCAAACTTAAAAGTGGAAAGGACAACAAAAAATAAAAAAAAACCTCAGTCTTGGCAACTTTTGGTAAAGTCTTGAATATAATTCATACTTATTCCAACTTTCCTTACCTTCATAGACTCAGCTAATTTTTGGTTTATTTACATGAAACACTTTTACTAATTTTACTTCAGTAACATTACCTCCAAAAGCTTAACACAGACACAAATAGCATTGCATAATCATTGTAATTATTATAATTAAACATAACCATGGACATTCATGATTCTAACTTTAATGGTGTATTTCTGTCCAATTAATTCTGTTACAATCAGTCATAATTCCATTAAGTAACAAATAAACTGTAAGCCTAAACTTCAAAGGAACTGATATTAACTTTGCAAAGTTGAGTTTCTTCATTATGGTATAATAAAGTAGCATTTTGATAGTTTACACAAAATTTTATGCTATTCAGAGAAGCCTTTCAGATTCAAGTTTATAACAAAAATAAATGTAGTTAAAAATTCTATCAACTAGTTTAGTTTGTTCAGAATCAAGATTACCTCACTTGAAACTTTACTGAATTAATAATACAACCGAAATTTGCCTCGGACATCACCCTGATGTTATAATTACTGCTACACATTTTTTCCTTTGGTATATATAAAAAGCACAAACTTCTGTATGTTTGTCTGTCCATTATCCAACTACTCCTAGGTCACTGGGCCAATCTCAACGAAACTGTGGGATGATACCTTGGCACAATGGGCATGTTAATGGGGGGTTTCATAACCTTCTCTACCCCCATTATTGCTGTTATTGAGCATTTATCTTTGATGCAAGTTAAAGTTAACTATATTCATAGATGGTGCCACATCATTACACCAAAAATTTGTTTTATTAAATTTTCTATAATATAACATACTCATAGTGAGGCGGGGGGGCACATAAACATCTTGTATATCTCAGAGAGTGCAACAGCACACTGTATGGAGGAATTGAATTTAAAAAATTGGCTGCTACTATTGCAATAATACATAAATTCAGCTGAAGTTTCTACTCCAACAGCCACTATAAGGCTGATATGAAAAGGCATATTTTTGAGTTATATCATCTTCCTACTTTGACCCAAAACCTTTCAACTTCGGCCCCTAAGACACTTCTACGGCAAATGACCATCAATTAATTAATCACGTGAAACACTATGGAAGACATTAAAGAGCTGGGTGTTGAAAGCAGGTAACAGAAAGCACTCCTTACCACCACTACTTTGGCCATTACTTCTTCCTACAAAATCACCCTTACCATCATACAGTGTAGTTTGTTTTGTTTTTTGTATATACATATTGAGTTCTTAAAGCATATACAAAACATTTGGTGAGGTATGTTTTATTTATCATAGCATCCACCTACACATTTTTTTTAATTTAAAACTTTGACAAAGGATGGGTACCTCAGCTTGTAATCAAAAACCACTACTGTCAGCAGTTTTGGGCCTAGCTCAACAAATTTCTCAAATGTAATGTTTGTTCTAAAGAACAATGAATTATTTTTTATTTATGTTTAAGCCTTGTACGACTACAGATAAGCAGTTTATTTTTTTTAGACAACAAATGAAAACATGAGGTAATCCAGCTTTAAGTCTTGAAAGATGGGTGAAAAGTTAGTAATGTAAACATGTGTTTTTACCACCGTTATAATGCGAGGTTCTAAAATACCATCACTATTCTTCTAGTAATATTTAACCTTTCCTACAAAATTAAAAACATCAAGTTCTTACATCAGGTTATTTGTATAAATGCACTATTCACATGTAATAACTGATAATTTATATCATGTTACTTTAAAAGTTCATATTAATGTTCAAACAAATACTAAAATTAATTTAAAATGTAAAATGCAAATGAGGATATATATTACATATGTATATATGTGTGTGTAATTATGTATTAAAATTACTTGTAGTAAATGATATATGCACCCTGCTCATTTAATATTCACAATATCAATAAAATATGGTTATATAAGTTTAATCTGAATGCTTCTATGCAATAATTAGGTTATTCTTAATCTTAATTATTTTCAAATCATACTGATTCAGACTTAGCATTGTAAATATTATCAATGGAAATAAAATTGTAAAGTTGGATTTACTATTAAATTTTAATAACTTACCTGTATCTAAAATACTAACAAATGTGACAATATTGTGATAACATAGTATTAGATTGGGGTTGAAAATTAAATCAGGGCACGTCCTGAATAATAAAATCAGAATAAGAAGTTTTCTAATAGAAATTCTATAAATGAAAATAGATAACAAGGGGAACATATAATAAGAAATATACTAAAGAATCATCTTCTGTAACTATTGTTGGATTTATACCTTGTTTGGAAAAATACATCCTCATCAACAAATCCAAAATTATCATGAAGTTTAGTAACAGTTCCTGTGAACACTCTCTGCTTTGGTTGGTGCTGTGGCTGGCCCTGTGATGAGTGTTGATGAGGAATAGCTGTTGGTACTTGAGGCTGGTTTGCTGAAAATGGTACAGTGGCTTGCCCAATTAATCTAGGAGCCGGATAACTAACTGTAGCTACTTGTGTTGTGGCTAACGTGGTCGGAAGAGCTATACCAGGCTACATAATTGAAAAAATTATCACTCAAGACACTTTTCTCCTTTCTTTAATAACAAACAGTAGTTGCAACTTCAAATTTTTATTCATTTTTGAATATTCAATATAAGTTCATAGTGTTAACTGGACTGGTGCTAAAGTTACTGCACAGCCAAGCAACTGAATCTACACAAACATGAAAAAAAAGAAGAAAAAATCAAACATGCATAAATATAGATTTAATTTGCTTTCAAAAATTCTCACAAAGCTACACACAGTTTATTTACACTAGCCATCCCTAATATTGAAGTTACAGATCAGACAGCGAGTTAACAGCACCCATCACTAACTCTTGGTCTACTGTAATTGAATATAGGATTTGACTGTCACTCTTATAATTGTTAGTCCCAAATATGTGAAGCTCAATTTTGCAGTAAAAAAACACAAACCATGTATCCTCAGAATCCATAGTCAAGAATGCTACCTACTAGGCCACACCTAGCACAATGGTAAGAAGAGTTCTGTTCTTACTACTTTAGAGTAATTAACTTAACTCTAGGTTGAAAAAGAATATTTAGAGAAAACTTAAACAACTGTATTATTCATATCCTAAATTCTATGGCATTTAAATACAGGCAAGACTCAGGAAGAAGATATATACAGCTAAATCTAAATTTTAAAAAACGTTTGTACACTCACTGTTCCTACAGGTGTTGTTGTAGTCAAGGAAACAGGCAATGCAATGCCAGGCTGCTAAAAAAGACAACATTTAGAGCATATATAATGGACTTGTTATTCTTTTTAGTACAAAGTTTAAAAAATATTACTAAAAAAACATGATTAGTTTATTTTTATCTTAAATAATAAAACGTACCTGTGTAAGAACTGCTCCACTCTGTAGGGCATTCTATTTGGTAAAAGAAAGAAAAAAAAACGAATGAATGCCAAAATATGATTTAAAGCAATTATATGAAAAAAATGGCAAAATGCCTCTAAAGATACACAGGGTATTAGAAACGTCACTGAACAAATGCATAAATGAGATTCCTCGTTCTTTATAAGGTTCTCCATAGAGAAGTATAGAATACCAGAATGAGACACTTGTGTGGGAATAACCAAGTACTTTATGCAAAATAACCAGAAAATTGCATCTAAGGTGTGGTTAAGCCACTTTATCAACCATTGACAAGTTGATGCAGAGGCTTAAAGACAGTGAAGTATTCCTAAATATGATAACTCAATCAAATGGATGTCATGAATGTTTGTGGCACTGCACATCACTCACGGAAAAACAGTTTGGGCAATACCTGTAGGCCTAAGATAATTTACCTAATAATTTTTTATGACGTCCTGTTTGTGTATGTGTGTGTGATAGAGAAAATATATAAATGTACAAGAAGTACATTTAATGTGGATACAAGTAACATAATCACATACATCTACATTCTCTAACTGTAAAATTCTATTTAATTTAGTCATTTCTACATAAATACATAAAAACGTCCGTAGTACATCGAAAGACTGCACTGGATGCGTGACAAAAGTCACTCTTCAGCCGCCTGCAAAATTTAAAATATACACTATTATAAATAAGTGGCTGAAAATAAAACAAAATTAAGAATTAAAAGATCATAACATATAATGTAAAATGTACAAACCTTTAAAAAAGGAAGAAATAAAAACCTTAACAACAAAAAATTCTTTGTTAAGTATAATACCTTTAGTGCTTCACAATATGTACTAATTTCTACCACTAAATACTTACCAAAAATTCAAATCTTTTACTTGTGAGCTTTAGTAAGATTTAGATGTATTTTAGGATGCTTAAATTTATTAGTTAAGTTTAGATGTTTAAGTGCACATTGGAGACTAGAAATTGTTTTAATAAAATAAATATGACCACATACTCCAGATAAATAAAACTTTTAAAGTACCCAACATTCCAAATTAAGCCTTTATCATGGGTTAGGTGCCTACAGTTGAATCAGTTCAATTATACAGTCTGAAAAGAGCATAAATTACTTTATCACGTGACATCATGTTAGAATATGTAGTTGCATTGTTGTATTGTGTTCGACTCAGATT